AAATAATTATTTATTTACAAATAAACATGATATAGGGACTCAAGTAGCATTTGATGTTTTTGATGCTGAATGTTTTTCATTTTAATCTATATTTGAAAAAAAATAGTAACTCAGTTGGTATATTTATTTTAAGTTGTTCAAACAAATGTTTAACTAACACAAAACCAATATTGGTCGATAAATTAAGTGGCCCTACATTTGAAATTTTAATTTCATATTTAGATTGCAAAAAATTTAATGGGTATGAATCAATAAATACTGTACAGTCTCTTAAAGATCTAACTGGGACATCTTTTGAAGTGTTTAATCTTCTTTTATCAATGATGCCTGAATCTGCTTGTAATAGTAATGTAAATAATAATAATAAACGATTAATTTTTCTTATGAAATTAAAACTAGGTATTAATTTTTCTGCGCTTGGTGTTCTATTTAATGTTCATCGTATAAATATCAGCAGAATATTTTTTGATATACTTTCAGTATTAGTTATAAAAACTAGTGCATTGATATTTTGGCCTAGTAAGAAAACAATTCAAGAAACGCTACCTGAAGTTTTTAAAACTAATTTTCCTGAGTGTTGTTGCATTATAGATTGCAATGAGTTTAAAGTTGAGCAACTAGCGAAAGTTGAACAAAGCGTATGTATTCTAGATACAAATCATGTTATATAATTAAAGTACTTGTCGGAATTACACCAAATGGTTCTGTTTGTTTCCTTTCAAAGAGTTATGGAGGAAGAAGTAGCGATTCTTATATTACTAATGACAGTGGGTTTCTACAAAATTTAGAAGTAGGGGACGTAGTTTTGGTTGACCAGGGGTATCCAGGCACAAAAACTTTATGTAATGATCAAAAATCCATTTTGATTATGCCACCTATTTTGCACAACGGGAGATTTAGTGAGGACGAATAATTAATATTTATTCTGTAGCCAGTGTCCATATACGTATTGAATGTTTGTTTGCTATATTAAAAACATATGGAATTCTAAATAAAATAAAAATTGATTTACTCCCACATATCGATGATATTATTAAAATATGTTGTATTTTATCAAATTTACAATCTCCGATTATTAAACAATAACTGTTATTTTAATTTAACATGAGAAAATTAACTTTTTTAGCTTTAAAATGTGTTTATTTTTAATATATTTGGTTTGTAACAAATCTATATAGATATCTGTATAGAAATTATTAATATTTTATGTATATATTAGTAGTGATATTATTTGGTACAATTTTATAACGTATACAACTTGTACAAACACTTAATAATAAATAAAATATTGTGTTATAAAAAAAATTATGTTTTTAATGTAAGTTCAGTTAAATAAGTTGAAAAATAAAACTGTTCAATTTTTGACAAAGCTGAATTTATAAAATAATTGTTTCTTTCAACAGTAATAAGAATTGGTTTAACATAATTAAAAATATAAAAGTCACATTTTGTTAAATCTGTACAAAACATTAGAAATTGACATTGAGTATAATATATATGTGTTGGTTTTAATATTATCTTGTTATTTTTATCATATTTCAAATAACATAAATTTATTTTTCCATCAGAATCTATTATGGATGTATTTTTGCATGATATAGGACATTTCACTTCAAACAACATAACATTAATAGAATCGGTTATTAACTATGGTATAATTGGTAGGGGTGGTGCGTTCAATAATGTTCTAAAATTATAAGTCTGTCAAAATCAAATATAGAAAATGACCTTTAATAAAATACAAAGATAACATACTGAAAATCTTTATAAAGTATTAAAATTACTTCCTATATACAAAAATTATATTATAAAACGATCATTATATTCCTAAAAAAATATAATATGATAAATCCTATACCACAAAATATTAATACCCGGTATGCTAAAAAAAATTTTATAGTTATAAATATAATTATAATCATTTTTATTATTATAAATTGGTCAAATAAAACCACTTCAGGTAAACAATTTCAAATAATAGGTACCAAAATAATAAATAAAATTCCTTCTGATATCTTAAATTTTTCACTTAGTTTATTTAAAAAAAAAAAAAAAATCAATGGTTATTAGATTTAGATGATTCAGTAGGATAATAGTTGGTACATTGTTATAATTTATATTTATTTGTGTATGTTTATTTATAAGCACTTTTTTCTCTATTCTTAATTATTATGTATTTGCTTTCTATTTGTCACATGTATTAATGTAAGAACTCCTGGGCCCCCACATGAGTTATCACAGTGGGGCCCAGTATTCATTGTATGAATTAAAATTAAATAAATAAAACACATAAATAAATAAAAAAAAAGGTTAATTTTCCATTAAATTCAAGAGATTAATTTCTTTTTCTCCAACTTTAAAAAAATTAAATTAATATAATATTTATAATACATTTTATTATTTTAAAATTTTTTATTTAAATATAAATTGAAACATGACTATAAAATCACCAAATTATTTTGAAGTAAAAAGTTAAGTAATTAAACTTAAGATAATAATTTTAAAGTAATAACATTTTATTTCACTATCACTTATCATTCTATAAGGAAAAATAAATATATTAACACTCTTTTCATAATAATTCTTACATTTTTTTTTTCATCTTTTTTACTTTTTAAATATATTTACTTTATAAATTTGAGTTATTATTTATCAAGTAAATATTTCTTCATTAATCTACATTATCAACGTTGTTACATTATCAATTATTATTTGTTACTCTACGATTTAAATTTTCTTGAGAACAATTTTAAATTTTGTAACTTTCTTACAAATTTAATAATTTACAAGCCACAAGGCAACTGGGAATTATCCTTTTATTAATCATTTTGTGTTTTAATTCAACTTGAAATGCCAAGTTGTGTTATTTGTGCCAGAACGCGTAATTCTAAAATCAAATCTGTTGGCATTACATTTCACATGTAAAATTATTATAACATTATTTATTAATATTAATGTTAATTATTTATTTATTAATATATTATTTACATCAATCGGTCATGCATGATTATGCATATTGTTACGCAAAAATTATTATTATAAACATCATTTCAGAATGAATGATGATGATACGACCAACATTTGCCCGACAAATATCCACTCGACATTAAACGTTACGCATATACGACAGAACACCGACAACATCGTACGCGACACTACCAACATAACGTATGTACGAACGCGATAATCATTTGGTACTGATATCGACAGTCGTCGAAACTAAACTTGTGTCTTTAGCGCCACTAAGAAATTTTAAAACGCACTGCCCGGGTTCAAAACGCATAATCCAAAGTCTTTTACTACAACAATACATTTTCAATTGTTTTATTAAGATTGGAAATATTATGACATTAGCTTATATAATAATAATAATAATAATACCTAATTATATAATATTCTTATAAACCCTTCCATAGACCCATAAACATAATATTCAAATAAAGAACGAAATATTGCTATGGACTGCATGCTTGACATAGCCAAAACTTATTCATAAGTATACCTATAGTATTAGAAGAAAACGTAGTAAAGAATAATTTGAAAGCATTAGGAGGAGGTGTGAAGGATTCAGACATCGGATAGAGAAAATTAGAGGCAAGGGTGTATGTCAGGATGGTTCTAGTGACCGAGTTTTACCGATGAAGAAGAAAAATTATATATTTGTTTTGCAACAACAAAGTACATACCTAGTTAATAATAAATAAAATAAAATAAACAACTTACAAACTCTTTCAATAAGCATATGCTTGAAACGGATAAATAATATTGATCCATTAAAAAAACAAAACTTATTTAATTTACAACTAAAAGTTTTTAGTTTGCCTAGTTTTTAAAACGTTATTATGGTATATTATTTAAAGGATAAAAAATTTTTTTAGAAATAATATGACCAAAATAAAATTAAAATATATTAAATTATAACATATTAAATCAAAGTAGTGAAATAAACAATATTGTTTGTATGATAATTTTAGATGTGCTGCAAGATATAAGTATTTCAGTAAATTGAAAATTTAGTTTCATACATTTTTAAAATTTATGTTTTTAAATATACAGAGTGGGACAGTGAATCGGGCAATTTTAAAATAACTATAAAAAACCAACAAATATGTTTTTAACAAATGTATTTAAATAACTTGAAAGTACATAAAATAGCATTAAAAAAGTGTTAATTTGTTGTTTAATTTTTATAAATTATATCCACAAGATGGCGTTCATTTCGAAGCAAGCATTCGTCAAGGCGTCTTTCAAAACTGGTCATGACGTTTCGCAGAATTTCCGGTGAAATTTGTGTCACCTCTTCTCGTATTTTTTGTTTAAGATCATCAAGTGTCCTTAGTGTTGTTTGGTATACTCTAACATACCCCCACAAAAAAAAAATCACAGGCCGTTAAATCAGGCGAACGTGAAGGCCATGGAATACTCCCATTTTGAGAAATTATATGGTTAGGAAACAAATCTTTCAGAATATTCATACTCACTCTAGCTGTATGACTCGTAGCTCCATCTCGCTGAAATAATCCAGTCACTCTATATTGAACAATTTGAGGAATAAAAAAATTTTGCAACATCTGTGAATATCGCTCTGAATTTACAGTGATTGCCTCTCCATGTTCATACGTATGCATATAACAATATATCAACGGCATTATGATTTTCTATTACATTTTCTAATGTTTCGTGCGTTGATTAACATGCCGATTAATTATGCGTATACAATCACTTATTTGAACGTGTTTCATTGTTACTGAATATTATTTATTTATTTTTTTGAAATTAAACCGCTGGCCGATATCGTTCCGCTGTTTTGGTTTCCACAACAAATCGATTGCGGAGAATCAACAATATTTTATTTAACGACTACGGCAGTCGATTTATAATAACGAAATCCCAGTTCTATTAAATTAAAAATATATTTTTTATCCTTTTACCTTAATTATCTTCGGAGTAATTATCAACTTAAATTTTTTTTCCGTTTAGTAAAGCAGGAATAACACAAGATGTATAGCAAATTCGTGAAAACTAACGGTAAGCATTTTTGAAATTTTTTAAAAATATCTAATAAATGTCCGTGCACAATGTTGAAATGCAGACTTCGAAGTAGTAAACATCAAAGCAAAAACAATGTACAGCAAGGAAATGTTGATCCGACTGAAGGAACAGCCAATATGTTGGAAGGAACCCGCGTCTATCGAGAAACTCGTCGAGTTCCGTATACTCCGACCGATGGCGTACGGAAGAGCTCCAACAAGGGTAAGCAAACGGCTATATTATCCACTACCTGTTTATACATACCGGAGAAACAATATTTATTTAAAACGATTGCTTTAGGAATTTGTGCCACGTACGTTCGACTCGAGGTCAAGAGTGGAAACGGCAAGACGGAGAGTCGTTCATTATCAAATACCGAAAGGAGACGCGAGCGATCTTAAAACATGCAGTAACCCATGGACTCCATCGTGTCTGAAAGGCAAACGAGCACACTGTCAGACGTCCAACTATGATGAAGCACAAACAGAAGTAAAATAACCATTTAATAGAAATATTGACAACATAATGATCTCGAACATGCGTCCCAAGATGGATTAAAATATTTAAAATATTTAATAAAATATTAAATATTCCCTTTTTGTTGCACAGTTCTATGCGAATAACTACGATTTTTTTTCTTTTTTTTTTTTATATGTACTTTAAGGAGATCGAGAAAAAATTTCGATCTATTCTGAACAAAATCACTCCTGAAAACATGGTTCCATTGACGAATAGCATTTTATCGTTGTCAATTAATACTGATCATCGCCTGAAGAAAGTTATTGATATTTTATTTCAAAAGGTACTTTGAAAAAATCAACTAAACATGTTGTGCAATACGTATTTTTGTTTGGTTAATGTTTGATCTTGTGTCGATCGTTTTGAACGTACAATTAGTGACGGATATTATTCATACTTCTATCCATTATCGAACATTTCAGGCTATAAACGAGCCACATTTCACTCCTCAGTATGCGTATATCTGCATGGAAATGAACAACAAAGATATCAATGCAAAAGTGAAGACAACCACTTCATCATTCAAAACATTAATAATATTGTGCTGCGAAGATAGATTTAATTCCATGCACGTCCACGAACAGGAATTGACCAAAAGTCTTAAAGAAATAAAAGATTGCAAAGATCAAGTACCTGCATATTTACATGACATTAAAATATTTTATTTTATTATGAATTCATCGTTGTACATAATACATAATATCCGTATATTGAATATGATTAAATGTTACAGGACGACAAGGAAAAAATGCAATCGAAGTACGACCGAGACGAAAAGATTCACAGAGAGAGATCGGTGGGAAATTGCAGGTACCAACGTATTAAATAAGAATAGAACGAACGGTTTTGATATTAAACAATGTCCATCACTTTACAGATTCATGTGTGAACTTTATAAAGTAAAAATATTGTCGAACCAAACGTTAGAGATGTGTATAAAACACCTTTTAATGTCCCCGAAAGAAGAAACACTGGAATGCGCGTGTAACATACTAAAACAAATCGGGAAAACGTTAAACCATGTAAGATTGATGTATACTTTTTACTAAAAGTGTGCAATTAATGTTATCGGCCGAATGGGTTCGAAATTAAAATACAACGCAGTAGGTACTATTTGCATTATATGAGTATTTGTTGCAATAATTACAGAAAGTCACGTTTGAAGTACTAAACGAGTACATGTCGTTGGCGTACAAAACAAAGATACCAACGAGAATACGGTTTATGATATTAGACACGATAGAATTAAAGGACAACAATTGGATACCTCGGAAACATAGAACCGTACAGAAATCCTGTGACACGAAAACACCTGAAAACAACCATTCCGAAACTGTGAAATACACATCCATGCTATCAATGGTAAAGTGCATATATTACTCTTTACTTCAATACATTACACCTCTGCCCGTTGGATATATTAGAGGAGCTCTAAATTAGAATAGATTGAAACACATACTATACAAACGAATCGATGTTAATTATTTTTCGATTGATCACTCGTCTTTGGAACTAATAGCGTCGGACGCAGTGCCATTAAGAAGCTATTGTAATTAAATAAATGCTAAACACATAGTGTTACTCATTTTATACTATGGAATACATTTCAATATAAATTACGTAGTAATACATTTTCGTTGCCTTTATCAGGAATATTTTCAAAAGTCAACTATCCGATTCAAAGTAAACCATCAAAAAACATTTAAAAGATAATGATTTTTTTTTTTTTTTTCATTAATAAAAGCCATTATTCCAATAACAAATCTCAATAAGTTAATAATATACTCGTAGTATAGTTTTCAATCACTATACATAAAGTTAACGAAAACAATAAAAAGTTTTTTAAATATTCGTGTATATACAATGAATATTAGTGTAAATATTAAAACCCATCGAATGAATAACATGGTATTCAACTTCTTATACTTTATTTTCTTTCAGAACTATGGGCCTCCTAAAAATGATGGACATATAGACACAAGTGATTCCAGTCGTCCTCTATTGTCAACGAGAACAAGCGATGTAGTAGCACATGAAGTCTCTCCGATGTCCTCATGTTTTAAAACAGAGACAAAAACTACTAACGTCCAATCATCGAATAATAAGGACGCTACTATAGGAGTAAGTATTATATTCCATAAAAAAGTTGTTTCAGCATCATTATAACATCATTATATCAACGGTCGTGTTCGAAACAAACTACAATCTATTTTCTACGTTTAAATCTACATGTAACTAAACTTGTGTATTTTGCTCGACTGTAGGTTGAGAAAATATTTCTATCTATCCTCAACAAAATAACCACTGAGAATATTGCTCTATTGACGGAGAGTATTATTTCGCTACCAGTGAATACAGATGTTTGTCTAAAAAAAGTTGTGGAAATGTTGTTCCAAAAGGTATTTAGATAAAATAAATAAAAGGAAACATTATATTGTAATACACGTATAGTTACGTGTGTTTAATTTGTTGTTTTACGTTAAGATAACAATCATTTGATATTTTTGACCTCTCTAGGCCATAGACGAACCGATATTCTGCCCCCAATATGCACATATCTGTTTGTTAATGAAAAACATAGAAGTTGATTCGAAAGAGCAAGAATGTGGCACCACAACGTTTAGAAAAGTTTTGGTTAGAATGTGTCAAAATGCGTTCGAATCGATCATTGCCCAGAGTCGAATGATGATTAAACACAGCATTGAAGTAAGATCTTGCGAGGATCGAGTATGAACAAGACATTTAAACATGTTTTAACGATCCTATTCACGATAACTTAGTATACTGTCGGCGTATTAAACGATACGGTTGTTGTGTTACAGAAAAGGAAGAAACGAACCCAAGAAAAAATTGACCAAAACGATGTTGTTTATAGAAAACGTTCCATTGGTTACTGCAGGTGCCTTGATCGAACGAGACAGTTTTTTACGGTTTTCAATAATTTTTTATCATAATATAATTTCCAGGTTCATGTGCGAACTATTGAAAGTTGAGATATTAATACCTCAAATACTAGATGTATGCGTGGCGAAACTAGTGAAAAGTCCAAAAGAAATACCACTCGAATGCTTGTGTATTATATTGAAACACGTTGGAAAGGAAATAGACCATGTAATAATAATTACCGATCCGTCGGACATTGCATATATTACGATACGTTTCTATTCAATAAAATTGCTGTATAATGAAAAAACCTTCCAATTTCAGTACAGTGTGTTCGAAAAGCTTTACGAGTACTCGTCCGAGTGCAAGTCGAAATTGTCGGCAAGGATACGATGTATGATCCTAGACACTATAGATCTGAAGAATAACAGCTGGGTGCAACGTCATCACATCGAAGAGACAACATTATTACACGAAAAAAGAGAATAGACTTCCACCAAATCTTCGAACAAATGGCACTCGAGGTAATTTTCATTCATAGAATTTAAATTTTTACTAGATTGTTTTCGTCGTTTGCCAATAAAATGACCGTCGATCAAACAATAAATCGGTGCAAAATGAACATTGAGAGCAAAAAGGTAAGAAGCTGTTTTCATCGTTTTGAATTTCTTTAAAAAATGTGTGTATTCCAATATGTTAATCATCCATTTTTCTAAACAAACGATACAAGTTCACGAGTTTGAAATTTCAACCAATTATGACATTCATTTTTTAATTTTTCTTTTTCCCATCGTTATCCCGTACGTATATAGCGTTTTTACGGATAAATTTTCAATTCGTTGTTTACAATAAGGTTATATTCTTATTATAGACTCGGCAAATACGAAAGATGTTTATAACCCAACAATAAAACAATGAGCAGCTCATATTGCGATGGAGATAGAATATTTTCTCAACATTTAGTACTATTAGTAGTATTACGCGACAACGTACGGATTTCGAACTTCGGATCAACATTAATAAAAGAGAATTATAACTACAAAAAAGGTTAGTAACATATAACAAATATTATTTTTGGCCATCAATAGATAAAAATAAGATATTATAATCTGTTCGTTGATTTTTTTTTTTTTTAGGAACGAAGAATATTTTTTATTTTTGAAAACTGATCAAGCTTATTTATATTATACCCATAGTTCTATTGGGATTTATCTTGGGCGATATATTCTGTAACTAGTGATTATTTTAAAATTCTGTTTTTCTTTTTTTTTTTAAACACTATCTGCGCTAAAATCATTTATTCTGCGTTGGTTCATTATATGTAAATGTTAAAAAATATAAAAAAATGTTTGAATTTTATAATTTTTGTAAAATTTGAAGATTTTATGACGTTGAATATGATGTTGAAAATATTGATTTAACTTTCAGCTTAACTACATAATTTTATTAGTTTTCAGAAAAATAGAAGTATTTGATTTTATATTATATTTTTCTGATTTTTCTGCATAAAGTATTCTTATATAATTAAATAGTAATAAACTATTATATACATATAAAATGAAATAAGTGATCATAAAATAATGTAATATAAAATACTATTTTTCAATAAACTAATAAAATCATTGAAATAAAAAATTAATCTGAAAAAGTTAATCTTCACATTTTACATTAACATTTATTATATTTTTAACACAACATTTACATCTATCGAACCAATTCAGATTAAATGCATTTAACCCAGTAAGTCTATAAAAAAAAAAAATTACTTAATTTTTAATCTCTTTTACAGTATATGAGATATCGCCCATGGTAAATTTATGATAAAAAATATATAGAGCGACGCAATGAAAAATAAAAACACAAAATATATTATCATTTATGAGATAAAATAGTAAAATAACTTCTTCGACATCAAGCACTGTATTTTTAACAGCCGTAATTCATATACTTATTTTCCTTAGTATTTTGTAGTTTATCTATATAAAAAATCTATATAGAAATTAGTGATGGAAAAATTCCGGATTTTCAAACTTTGGCAAATTTAGAATTTTTGCATCACTTTTTCCTATAAAGATTTTTATATAGATAAACTACAAAATACTAAGGAAAATAAGTTAGATATATGAATTACGGCTGTTAAAAATACAGGCTTGATGTCGAAGGAGTTATTTTGCTATTTTATCTTAAAAAAGATAATATATTTTGTGTTTTAAATTTTTTATTGCGTCGCTCTATATATTTCTTATCATTACAAAATTCGCAGTATTGTTTTTTAATTAAAACGCTCAAAATTATAATCGATATATATTTTTAAATATGATTATTATTTAATAATCAAATTAAATAACTATATCCTTTGTTTGAAAAAACAGTATATACTTTTAACTGACGACTATAAATGATAAATCTTGAAATAACATTATTTTTTGAAAATCCTAAAATTATATGTATATAAATCCGATAGATAGTTTTAACTAATAACTATAAATTTATATCCTATTATTTTAAGTTTGGAATAAAGAACAAAGTATAAAGTGGTAAATTTAGGTGGCCACTATTTTTAGAATAGGTACACCATTATTCTAGATTCAATACTCTCAATAATTGCTAATTTAGGTGAATACGCGAATTTTATTCCAACTTTTGATCGTCATCTTCCAGAAATGTATTTTTTCTCACATAATTGTCCACGATCTCTACACATAAATGTGTTTGTTGAAAATAATATTTTTATTATGAGTCAAACATCAAGCTGTACACGATAATCAAATGCCTATACTCTGTAGATTTACATACAATTATTTTAAGTGTGAGAAAAAATCTTGACTAGCTAATCTTATTTTACAAATCAATAACACCTTGTTTATCACACATGTACTAACCGTTTATCCTTACCACTTAGAGTTATTTAAACAACTGACTTTAGTTCACCGTTATCGTCTATAACAAAACTTCGGCATCAATATTAATCAAAGCACCAACTTGGTTTCGACAAATTTGAGCGATCCAAAATAGATAATAGCGGTTGGACCCAGCTTTAGACAAACCGAAACTGAAGTCGGACAGATGTTATCAGCAGAATGGGTAGATATCGTACATCCACTAGCATAATCAGTAATCGACTTGATTTTTTTTATCGACTGTAAAATCAAAATTACTTTTTTAAAACAATACACTTTTAACAATAAACAGTGTTATCTTTAATTCACATCAGTTAATTGACTAAGAAGTTTTAACTTCAACAGCAGACACAGGAGCAGGACAATAAGACCCATTAGCCAAAACAAAATCATGATTTCACACACCCACGTGACAAATTGTAAGCTATTAATAGTTTTATCCGTACACAAACGTTTGTTAGTGAAAATTAAGCAGGAAAATGAAACAAATGTATGTTTTTGTTCATAAGCTCACAAAATAACATTCTATAATTAGCTCTCTCTTTATTTATAAATATTCTTTATTAATATTATATGTATACCTAACTTACTCCTACTTGTATATTTTCATCATTAAGGATTAAAATTGACACCGGGACTATCGCTTATTGATATTGTAATACATTTAAGTAAGTACATAAAACAGTACTGAAAATAAATTTCAATGCATATATCGAAATGAGGTCAAGATATTTTTTAAATATGTATTATTTGTTTTAAAAACGAATGAAATAAAAAAAATCAAATCTGTTGCTTGAGTCGTTTTTGAATATTTTATTATAATTGCACTTTTAATGTTTACAAAAAACTCGTGGATTATATTGGTCGTAAAACAATATTATGTTCCGAATTCGCACACACACATAGTGTCTTTTCCGGGGAAAGCAATGGACATCATGTACCAAACGCCGACCAGTCAATCTTTTTAGAAATATAAGCCGATCGTAATACAATGATTTGACATTGGTTTTGCAGAAACCTAATGCTAAATATCACATTAATAAGCTTACATTTTTTTTCGCTTGAGTACTATTACAATATTAGATTATTATCAAACAAATCTCCTCCTAAAATCTCCTAGATATCGATCACCAGAGACTTTACATTTGGAATACAGTTCACTTGTTTGATAAAGTTGATGACCGCTGGTTCAGAGAACTAAGCGTTCTACGGTAACTTTAAAATTTATAAACAGACATGAAGATATTGAAAGGATGTAATATTTTTTTTTCTCGAATATGCGTACGATTTTATGTTCACGTGTATTTTCGCGGACTTAGAGCCGGTGCTGGTCATTGTCGTTCCGTAAGGGACGATAAAAGAACTATAAACGCTCGAGGCAGTCGTTTGAAAATCGTAACGAAGGCGTGGAAAAATCTATATTTAATCCTGTAAATCATATCGTACAAGTTAATAACCGTGCGCGTAAATTAAATGGTAGAACGGAAACGCGTTACGTGTAAAAAAAAAAAGCGCACCAATCTATTTATCCGATAATAAATAAAACCGAATGATCTAATGGTAACACGATGTGTAGACGTAAAGCGTTTCTTTTAGTAGTGTAAATGTGTAACCGTTAAACTGGAATAGTGTTGCACAATAAACCCATTGAATGTAGTCTGTAGATTTATTTCCGGCAATTCCACGTTAACCGAGATTCATATCTATATAAGCTCTTACACCGAAACATCTGGGTGTGTACATAAATTATTTTCTTTTTTATCGCCGAGTTTTATTTCATTATACATGCGACACTAAAAAAAAAAAAAAACAACCTCGAAACCACCATTAAAAACTTTAATAGACGCCTATGCAGAAGAGAGCGATACAAGTGTGTGTGTGTGTGTGTGTGTGTGTGTGTGTGTGAATATGTGTTTATAAATATATCTTAATATATAATAAAATAAAACTAAATCGTCCGTAAAATAAATACGAGAGCAGCACGAATTTTAACACTTTTTTTTTTTTAATTTTCGTATTTACTCGGTAAAGGGTGATTTTACGAGCCCCAACGTTTTTGACATTGATCCATTAGGAACGAAGAAGAAAAATATCCTGCGGCCATGGCCATTAATGTCACGAGCCTTTTAATACAATAGCGTTCGTGTACACTATCGCGCGCCTGTGTGTGTGCGTGTGTGTAAATGTGTGTTTGTGTGTATTCACGTGAGTATGTATACGGTTAGATTAAAAGGAGGAAAAAGAACGTCTGACGAGAAAAAATAAGGAGAAAACAACCCGGATAGGAATACGGAAGATAAATCGCCCGAAGGGTGTATAAAAGACAATCCCCCGTTCACGACCGGAGGAAAGAGAGCACTAATCTGGATTAGAGTCGAAAGGCTATTTGTAAACGTCATTTTTTTTCTTTTCTTTTTTCTTTTTTGACACACGCCAATGCCATGCCATACTGTTGTGGATCGGATACGTGTCCAAAATGGCAAAGGGGAAAATCCACTTTTTCATTTTTCGACTTAGGTGTTAAAATATATAACGAGTTAATGTCGAGCGTGCTTTTTGCACCGTTCCGAAGATTTTTGATATTCCGAATTTTAAAAATGAATTAATTTTTCAAAACGAAAACGTCATATTTTCGTTTACATTGACTGCATTTTTACATTGAACGTATTACGCTCTCATATAAATATTGTATTTTACTATTTAAAGAATTTTGACACCGTTATTTTTTTTATTTTATATTATTAAAATTGTTAACGCATTTACTAAGTATTTAACTCCAATTTTATTAGAAGTCAACTATAATACTATTACAAAAAAAAAAAAAAAAAGTAAGAAGAAACTCTATGGTTTATTGGCAGTTTTTCGAAATAAATTAATAACAACTTCAGATTGATTAAATTTAGTCTTTGACAGATCATATATCGCGAGGGTATATTTCTGAAATTTTAAAGGAAAAATACAATATGCATTGTGCATGTTAGTTAAATAGAGATCTAAAATTTGGTAATTACCTTTTTAATAAAATACAAATGTGCGCATAATATTATTATAAACTACCTAATAAAAGCTATAAGTTATAGTCGACCGGACCAACACATAAATCAAGGGTTAGTTATTTATCGCTCTGCTTTTCTGATAAAATACTCGTGGGTGTACCTACGCACTGCAGTTGGAGGGGTGTGATACTTCGTAAAATGTATAGGTCAAATAACGATCCCGACTAAAGATTGGACAAGACTAAACTAATTTTAAACTTAAATTATTCATAGACATTACTAAAATAATGTTTATTATAGTTATATTATAATTATACCTACTGTTTAATATTAATATTATGACAAATTAAAATTATTATATTGTGTTCATGTTTTTTTTTTTTTTTTATACTGTACGAACCATAATAAAAAGCTCATTACTCCTTTTCATCTAACTATACGTATATCCATAATTTTAATATAAATATTTTTATTTTTTTTTTAAATAAAATCAACTCAAATAAATTAATTAGTCATTATATAAAATACTCTCCACGGTTAGTGTACACTAAATATACAAAAAAACTAATCATTAAAAAAAAAAAAAAAAATTGTACACATCAAGTATATGAATTGATCCAAAAAAAATACAATTGCACTAAAGTATGAAGTAGCATGAGATTTTAATTATATTAATCAATTGGAATCGAATCGAATAGACTTATAAATTGTCTCGTCCGTCATAGCATGGTCACTATGTCAATGATTTAATTTATACTTTATTCGGTTTATACGGAATTTAGTCTTGGTGTTCCAGCTAACAGACGGAGATTCATTAAATGTCCAAGAAATTTAAAAATCTTTTGTTCCCTAAAACATTTCAATCAATAACTATGTGCCTTCGTGAACTGAATTCAATGCGATAATTCGTCCATATTTTGCGTATAACGATGAACTATATAACTACATGTTTTTTCTGCTTCGTGGGTATTTTAACGATCGCCCTTGGAATTCATTTTTCAACGAACGAATACATGTGGATAGCGTGTGTTTGAAAAATGAACAAATAAAAAATAAAAAAAATACTAAGATGTCAAAATAGATTTTTCATCGGTAAAAAAATTAAGACAGGCGTGATTTTATGCTCTGTATGTATTTGTACCTCTAATGGTTTCAAATATATTACAACAGCTTTACATGCACATTAAATACGATTAAAAATCAAATTGATGTCGAAAAATTGTTGTAACCGACACCATTATCGTGTGTATTAGATAAGCCGACAGCTGTTTTAGAACGGACTTATTAACAATTTGTTTAATTGCATGCATAAAAGTCTTATTAAAAAATTGAAATTTGATATGATTTAGAGTAATCGGGTGATTTGTAAACCACAGTCTTATCGTTTTCTCAGTTAATTACCATAGTAATATATATTGTCATTATACATTTATATACAATCACACATTATGAGTTTCTCCATACGTATATGCTAATAAGTTGATTTTTAGTTTTATAATTTTTTTTTTTTTCTTATGGGTGTTAATTTAAAGTTCTAATTGAAACATATTTTTTAAAGATGTAGGAGCATACATTTGAGATGTTAAGCCATTATTTTTTTTTGATTAAAAGTATTTGCACTTTGGTTAGTGTAAATTAATAAGGTAATGCATTACGTTAGTACGATCAATCACCTTTAATACACAAATCATTTATATTGATTTTCTGATAAATAATTCGTTTTTCGTTTGAATTCAATATTTTTTTTCGGAAAACTTTATATGGTACATTGGTGTTTATTATTTTTGAATAAGTTTTGTGCACTACAGATGCAACTTTATTTGAACTCAAAATATTTCGAATAAGAACAATACATTTGTATTGTACAAATTGTACAAATACAATATTCGTTGTGATAAATTAATATTTTAGTTTTAAATTGCACTGTTAATTTAATAATTGTGAAAATAAATAATAAAATAATAAAACGAAACAAAAATTAAAAAATGATCAATACTCGCAGATAATCACGATCTTTGTATGTACTTGATGATACATTTTCAATTCGAGACCGGTCGTACATTACACATTTAATAATACTCCAGGATACACATTCATTCATTCATTTATTTATTTCTGTGTATATAATATATTATATACTATTTGTTTATATATTCAGAAAAATAAATAAAACGGAAACACCGTCTCATAACTCAAACCGCATTCAAAAACCACTTTGGAATCATCAACAATGGTCATTCCGGCGAGTATTTTACAGAGGTGATTTCGTTTGATTTATTTTGTTTCGGTTAATGTATGTTGTAAGTCGATATCGTAAGTGTCACCCTGAGGTCTTCGCAAAACCATCAATAATACAGTTTTCTACAATTGTTTTTCTTAGCAGTACGTTTACGCATGAATCAAATAACTAAAACGAAAGTGTTGTGTTGCACATAAATGTTGGTTATATTGTATAACATAATAATATATTTTAAACAATAATACATATCCGTTTTAATAGAATTAGAACAAAATTATTGGTACCATGTATACAGTTTCAGATAATGGCGTTAGAATCTCATTATCGCATTAATAATTTTGATTTAATTTCGATTGTTTCATCGACCCCCTGTAGCTTGTGTAAGATGATATTAAATGTTAAAAATTATTAGTATAACTATTATTATCATACGTTTATTATTTACAACAGATTACAATTAATACATTTTATATATTTCATTTTTTTATAGACTCGTGCGTATCGCATTGCGTACACTTGTATAAATTCAGTTACTTATAAGCGTATATCGTTTAGGGAATAAAAAAAAAAAAATTACAAAATAAACCTTTCTGTATGTATAACATGATATACAGAGCGTTTTAAACGTCTGAAAGTTGTCTGTCGGTACGAACAAAATATATGATAATAATTTGACAGTAAAACGAGTTTGAGCGGAACAAATACATTTACAACTTTAAAATGGAAATGAATTATGGATATGATGTTAGAACAATAATTATATTACTATGCGTATACAACATTAAAATCTATCTGATTCAAGTCATAGGTCCTATTGTTATCGATCGAACGTGCTACGCGTTACAATCAGGTTTATTGCATGAGGCCTACGCGGACCAACGATACAAATCGGCTGGTCCGTAACTGCAACACTTAACTACAACACTAAATTTGAATACTGTTTCGATTACCTCTACTCGATATCGTTTCGATATCACACTAACGGTTTTTGAATGCGCTGACTTACAATGAAAACAGGTCCGTAGGATCCGTGGTCGTTTCAACCTCGGGCAAGCCGTGTTTCTCGCGAATGTGGATCGATCGTTCTATTGTTTTCGCTATGCATTTGCCGATGCACAACGGCAGCCTGTCACTGATCTCGTTCTTGACGTCCTTGTTGAACTGATTGTTCGTTTTGAAGTGCAACCCATCGATATTCACGTTGAACTGGTACCGGGGACTGTGTTTCGAATCGTACCTGATGTTGATATCGATGCGATCCACGTCCAGGTGCACTTTGGTGGCCGCTTGCGAAAATCCGTTAACAAATCTAACAGTCATGTCGCTCGTCAGATGCACTTCGCCGAAGTCGATTCGGAATCCCGTGACGAAATGGTCGACCCTGTTCTCGAAATCCACGTATTTCACCGACTTGTTGTTCAACTGATCTTTTAGCTGACTGAAGTCCACGTGTATAAAACTGATTAAACTCGTGTTGCTCGAGCACTTGGCGGTCAACCGGTCTTTTTCGCCAAGATCATTCGGGATGAAGGTCAACGCAGTGCGCAGCTCTTCGTTCAGCAATCTAGCGAAACCGGTGCGGAACGATTCGGCCACTTTGCCAAATAACACGGCGTTGACGACGTACTCCTCCGCGTAGGCTTTGAGAATGCCGAGAAAACGGTCCATGGACCCGTCGCCGGTGGCTCTCATTAGTTCCGATTTCATGCTGACGTTGTAGTGTGGGTACTGCACTAGGTGCGATCCGTTCAGTGTGCCGTGGTGCAGTTCCAGAACGAACGGGTACTGGTGGTGCTCGGGAAACACGAAGGTCATCAATCCCTGGATCTCCAGCAAGTCGAAATCGTGCGAAATTAACGTGCGACCGGATTCCCGATCAAAAGAGAGCGATTTAATCGCCACGTTGTCCATGTGCAGCAGATGAACATCCTGGAAGTACGCGAACTCCTTTCCGTGACGTTCCATCACGTAGTCGGCAATTGCCGTGGAATTTTTCTCGTTAAAAATATCTGTGGACTCCTCGAAAATGGTTCTGAACATGTTTTTCATTTGTATATATTTGACCGAGAATTCGTGTAAATAATCTAACGGGTAATCTTTAGAACATTGTTTAAGCACGTCTGAAAAGCAAAAAAACTTGAATTAGTTATTCATTCACTATGTGGAGCAGTACAACTATGAATCTTAAAGAAAAAAAATTATATTTTCATATTTAAACTTAAGCAGGGAATATTTATTATTCTAATGTATCCTAATAATCCTAATTTATCGTAATAGATTTCAAAATAAAAAAATATTTTATTTCAGTAATTTAATGTTAAATAAAAATTAAATAAAAATTTAAATCAATTTATAATCACTCAAAGTTGGACTATAAAAATAGTTTGTAAAAATAAGAGTTAAGCTGTAATAATTTAGTTATTAAAAGCTTTTAATAAAAAAAAATAGTTTTTAAAACTAGGATTAATACATTTTATATTCCGTTTAAAATGAACACTACTGCGTTTTGAATACATACGATAAGTTATTGATTTTTATGGTTTTATAATTTTAAAAATCTTTAGGTTTTTGTTTAAAATACAAAATACTATACCCATTTTAAATAAAAGCGTCACCAACAATTTGAAGGTTAATAAACTAAGGGTAAATAAATTAAATAAATATCTGAGTGTTATGCCGAGTGAAATTTTTTTTTTTTTGAGAGGCCTCCAATTGGTGTTTGAACCCCGGCCCTCTGAAACTTAGATTTGGCATTAGAACCCGGTGGCAGGCGCGTTCCTAGATCGTTTTCAAGGGAGGGTGGGCGAACCTATTTAAACTCAATAATTACTCATATGATTCAAATAATGAATAAGTAGGTACAAATAATTATATAATAAAATTGGTTTTCGTTTATTTTTAGCAAAACGATCAACATTTATATGAATGTTTCTGTACACATGCATTAACGCCAGTCCTGTTAATTTCTTTTGCCAAATTTGGCTTCTTAACCAAGTCTTTAATCTAAAATGCATGGGGTAAAAAGCTAGCAATTAAGTAATAGTTAAACCAATATCTATCATTATTAATCATTATCCAAATACAGGTAATATACTTATAAAAATTGAATAATCATGAAAAGTAAAGATTTACTCATCATATTATTACTCCATGGAATATCTATAGTTCGTTATATCTATTTTGCACGTTATATCTAGTACCATAGTTACAGTTATCTATTTATAACTGTAGTCAGTACTATTACCTTCCATAATGTAATATATCAATGTTATCTTATTTTTTATTGATATTATTAACATTTTTATCACTGATCATTATTATTTTGTTAGCGATCTTTTTAAAAATTGCCATAAGGGGGAGCAACTGCCCCCTACGACATCCCCTTGGGGATGCGCCAGCCTGGTGTAACTAAGCGGTTAGGCGTATCATCACAGTTAAAATCATATAATACCGTTCTATACACTCAATTGTATCTTTGATCCTAATCATGATACAAGTAATGAAAATAAAAAGGACTTGGTATCCGTCACTTGGTCGTATGGCATGAAAACGAAACGAAAACGCGTTAGACGTGAACGCACGACGCAATATGAACAAACGGAACAAAGAAAAATAACGATAGGTATATGACTGACAGTAGGTTTACATTGATTACGACGAGTGCACGCGAGAACGAGAACGACAAATACGAGGGATTTCGTGGCGGATGACTGGGTGCGTGCAGAGCCGCGTCAAACGGGGGGCAAAGGGGGGGGGGGGGGGCAATTTCTCCGGAACAGCAAATTTTTGAGGATCAACATAAAATAAAATAATATTAAATTATAATTTTTCTTGTATGAATGTATAACTATATTACACATTATTTCGTTCGTAAATACCATGGAAAAGCCGCAGTCTACCGCTGTACGTCACAAGGCGATAAGAATTAAAAAATTGTGCCGTAATATCTTACGTATAAACCATTTTCGTTATTCCTCTACAGTTTTTTTCCTCGAAAATAGTCAGGTACAAGCAGAGGTGGAAGTGGGAAATTTTACGCCCAGGGAAAATATTAAAATTATGCCCTACTCTAAACCAATAATCAAATACTCTTCTCGAGAACTTTTTTCTGATAATTAATATACAATCATTCTTATTTTTAACTAATATCTGTATTTAATAAAATTAAAAATTTCAAATTAGTTATAAATAATTAAAAAAATTACACCCTCTAAACTTTTACTCCCGGGGATGAATCCCCATATCCCACCCCCTAGTTCCACCCATGGGTACATGTATATTGTTTCCTAACCTCGGCAGTCGGTACATTACACCGTTAGGTGTGTAAACATATTTTTAGCATGATGGTTTTATTTTTCGATAGTTAAGGTTATTAAGTTTTACTTAAGGGCGGCATATTTTAATTTGCCCCGGAGCGGTATCATAGCTCAACGCAGCACTGGGTGCGTGTCGACGGAGGACATCGTGATGACCGATCCAGGTCCTCTCCCCCGAACCATGACGAGCAAGCGACCGGGTGACGCGTTGACGTAGTGCCCCGCGATCTGGTGGTCGACCGGCAAAGGTGGACGTGACGTGCGACAAACGTGATGAAAACGAACGCCACGAGGTCCACGTCGAATGTAAAAATCGATAAACATTTGTAATAGTAAATGTGAAGGGTCGAACCCTCTAAACTCCACCCCACCCCTTGAGCAAGCCGATTCACGTCAGCTCATCAGTGTTTTTCGTTATTTTAAAGCGATCGTTTTACAGTTCAGATTTAAAAAATACCCACCGTAAAACCAGATAAAAGTTTCGGTTTAGTTTCGGCACACCATAAGTGCCACACATGTTTTTTTTTTCTAATTGTTCGTTATTGTGATAAAACGATTTTGTCAGATTTTATAGTTTTTAGTGCCCAATCGATCACTAATTTTATTTAAAAATAAAAAATTCATATAAAAAGGTATATTATTTTATTATTAAAATATAAGTATTAAATATCAAGATTGAATAATTTAACAACTAGTGTTTAACTTTGAAGCCAGTGAAGTAATAAAATGATGTAATAATGGTTGATTAATATTTCAAATGCTCCAATTTATCAATAATACGAGTATCTTACGTTGTTTTTGAAAAACTGACTTTGCAGAACCAAATTTAAATATAGTTCAATTTAAGTACTGGTACTGGTTTCACACGTAAAATCTAATTTTTACTTTACTGCAACTTGAATATTTCGTTATCTTAATATTATGGCAACCAAAAGTTAATTCTTTTTCAAGTACTTAAATGAGTTGCTAATCGAGGGTGAAAACTCAACAAGTTCTTAAAGTTAAACTAAGTATGTACTAAATTGTGTGAAGTGCTAACTAAACTGCAATTAACTAAGACTGAAAGTGGTGCTAACACTATTGACGGGTTTACACGATGCTTAGTACTTGTCACTCGCACTAATACCACATGCACAAACAGATATGAATAGTGCTTAGTATTGGGAAAACCGTGAGCGCGAGTGAATAGAATGCCATTTTATTTAGTAACGATAAATATCTACCTCCTCCACGACTAACCTATTCGCGGTTGCACTTGCAAAATGTGGCTGCCTGATGATAGTATTAGTGCTTAGTAGTATTACTGTCTACTAATACTATACTAGTGGTAAAAGAAACAACCTTTAATCAATTTGTTGAAAAA